CTGCCATTTTTCTACTCATTTTTGCAGCGCCCACGGCGACTGTCAGGTTTGAAGGCCGCGATAGCGGCAAATGGGTGGAAAAGGGGGTTTCCCGAAAGGGAAGAAGTGCGGCGTCAACAAATTGGCCGCATTTCCTTTCGCAGAAAGTTCGCCTGGACCTCGGCGGATGGCGATGACTCTATACCGAGGAGTACTTATATATTTTATTTAAAAGGATTCCTTGAAAAATTGGTATGAAAATAAGAGCAATTTGATATAAACTTAATATTTTCGGAGACATCTAAAATTGACTTAATTAAATAGGGAGCAGTCCTGAGATGGTAGTAAGCTTTTGGTTTCTTAGATCAAATGAATTGCTATCGTTGTCAAATACTATGCTACCCGATTTTTAAATGTAATAATTGAAAGATAATGTAATTTGAAAAGAGTACACTTTTTGTTGATTGATTTCGCAAAGTTGTATTAAAAACTGTGTGCACTTATATTGTGGTGAATTTCTTTGAGTGCAGCGCATATTCCTTTTCATCTGCAGCTCGCCTGCAATTTGGGTTTTATTTTTTGTTGGTGCGTATTCCATTTTTTTGCCCTTAGTGCATTTGACATTTGGTGACTTCTGCTTGTGCGCGTGTAATTTATGTGAGTTTTGTCCCTTGAAGTTTGCTTCGGTTCGAGGACAAAACGCGGAAAGACAGTGGAGTACGAGTATAGTAACTCGCAGAAAGTACCATGAAGTTTATGTAAAAGGACAGCAGACTTTCTGGGTAGGTGAAACTTTGTCGCATAAGTTTTCCTGCCTCACATAAGTGGGTAAGTCTCTGACCGTCTCTTTCTGGGCGAGTATCCTATCCACCTCTTTGTTTGTCGCACAATCAGCTCAGTGTTTGTTTGCAGTTGTCTTGTTCGGCTTGTTGTTTGTTTGTGTCTTTGTTTGTTGCTGCTCGTGCTGCTGGCTGCGTGTTTGCTCCTTGGCCAAACAAATTCAGGGAAAGGGGCCAGCGGGCCCAGGGAATGAAACTCGTGTAATTCATATTCATTAGCTGCCCCATTGTGTCATTGTCATGAAATTGTAATATTACCGGGAAGTGGCTGATAATTAAGTTGGCTCTACAGTTCCAGAAGGAGATCTTGGAGAATGTGTGCAAAAATATCATAACATTAATTGAACTTTCAAAGAAGCTAAAGAACAAGGATTCAGTGTAATTTTATTCCCTACACAAACTGTTTAAATTTTTTGCCTGAAGCCAATTAATTTACTTATTGCTATATAGTTCATTGATCATTAGCTCGTCAAATGCTGTTGGTTCCCGTGATGTTGTTTACACCATTTTAATTGATTTTCAGCTTAGCTTAACATGGTAGCCATGTAAAAAACAACTATTTAGGTAAACTTATCAATGTTGTGCAAACCAAATCAAATTAGCTCTTTGGAGCAACTAAGTCCGCTACGTAGACGAGAAACGATATAAGCAGTTTGTTTTTTCCCATTAATAGCTGGTGTTTCAATTACCAATGTCATAATGCAAAAGCCGAAAAAAGGTAAACAGTCAAACTTTTAATTAAAGCATATTTTATAAATATGCTTTTTGGCCCAACTTCCAAGACTTTAGACTTAAACTTTGCCCCCCTCAGTGGAAGTCAAATTGAATTCCAAACAAACTTGATAGCCAAATGGAAAACACTCTCTCCAATGTGTAGAGTATAATAATCAGGCTAACACACCCAAAGGGGAAAGGGGCGGGGTTTCGGTGTAGAGATGCCAACTTTATTTAACTGTTTGCCAAGCTGTCAAGCTCTAGCTAACTGCCAACACACACACCCACACACGCACACACTCGCAGGCTGGCAAACACAACGGGATTGCAGGTGATCCAGGTATTGGTTTGGTTTTGGCTGCGAGTTCTTTGGCGGGTGGTGCAGTGGGTGGTGGGCGGTGGGTGGAGCAGTGGGTGGCTCAAAAGGGAAACGCGGTACATTTGCGCTCAACGTGTTTGCCTTTTGGAACGTTTCACGCTTCGATTGCAACGCAGCAAAGGCAGTAAGTTGGATCGGAAAAGGGGTAGAGGGAAACTCATTTTAATCTTACTGCCAGAATTATATGCAGACTTCAACGACTATCTATCTTTCCTTTTTTTCTTTTTATGTATCTATCTTTTCCCACAACGCACTCTTTTTAACTTGTATTAGCTTGTAATTTTTTGTTAATTACAACTAGTCTGGCATATCTTAGAATTATTTTGGAAAAGAATTTAATGTAAATACATGTAAATTTTTAATCACAGACTACGCACAATTTAAGAGAATAGTTGGCAATTTGTTATTTTCACAAGTTGTGCATACCTTGCCTGCCACAATTTTACAGGTCCAAAGACCCAAACTGCAAAACCAACACTGAGTGGGAGAAAAAGAGATAGGCACTGGGCTGTGTGTGTGGAAATGCAAAAATTAAATTTTAAATATTTATAAAGTACTGCCTGTCGAGGGGGAGTGCGGGGGGATAGAGGCCGAAGTGAACGAAGAGGGAGGGGTGGTAGGCCAATAAAAGGAATTTGCAATTGGTCTGATTGGCTTTTAATCGCAGCAGACAGTTTTTAATAAATATGCATAACCGTTTGCGCTTCCAATTGGAATACAGTGGTAGATCCCATCGATGGACGGCTAAAGGATCCTGTCATTTATCGGAGAGATGTGAGAAAGTGGCAAGGGATTAAGTGGTGTCTTCCAAAAGAACTGAGAGTAAAACATAATTATTAAGGGCTCAAAAAATGTGAACAAGTTTAAAAGTAGTAAAAAGTTAAATATATTTACTTCCACGCACTCAATGGCTACCATAAACTTTATGAAATGAATTTAATAGTAAAATAACAAATTACATAGCATAACCCATTTTACTTACAGCGACATACTGTCAAAATGTTTTTATTTTAAGTCCCGTGTAATTCCTCAATCCAAGATTGACTGTACAGTCGAGGAAAAAAGGGGAAAGACGGCTTGCCTTTTCATAGTTCACTGTATGCCAAATGTGCGGGGGTTTGGATGCAACTTCTTGCGGAAACGGATGTTGCATTGCATAGCGGAAGACGAGAGCCGAGCAGTCGAGGAAAATTTATGATTTTGCCATAAAATCCTGTTGATATGTGGAAGCGAGGAAGGCTCCTTGGCCCCGTTCGATTTTCTCACCTCACAGCTGTTACTTATGCGCATATGTGTGTGGCGCGTTGCACGTAGAATTTGCACAGACACAGCTTCGGATACGGATACTCAGATAGTCAGATACTCAGATGCCCAGATACTCAGATACCCAGATACCCAGCTACGCAGACACTCAAACACAGATACACAGTTGCGGATACGCAATGCTCACATCCTGCTGCCACTGCACATTGTTGCGATTGATGCACATAAGAAATGCAATCGGGCCAACTGCAATTTCGTAAATCGAAGGAAAAATTTCCTAGCCGCATCAACATCGCATTTCGTCTCCGGCAGAGAGGCAATCAAACATGGCAGGAAAACTGCAGCTGGAAAACAGTTGTTGACTGTTTGCCGGCATCGCCTATATCTCCATCACCGTGAGGTTGATGATCATCATCATCTTCACCTCGCAACAGGGCACAACATCGGAACGCCATCATCGCGTGGAGCAGCCAGTGGAGGAGAGCATGGAGGACATCTCCTCGTCATCGTCACTTTTATGCTGCTGTTTTGTCGCATCCACTGAGCTTATAAGCATTCGCTCGTCATATGCGAGCAGGCGTATCAGGGATCTACACAGCGAGAAAACAGCTAATACACCTCATTTCATATTGCATCAAATATTTGGAAACGGTTTCAATCCCCACTCACCTATAATATATAATAGTCTAGCTATAGTTTATAGCCTTTTATGTTTTTATGCCCTTTTTCTCACAGTGCCTGGGCTCGTATCTGAACGTACTCCGGCAAAGGCTTGTTTATTTGCTGGCAAAATTGTGAAATAATGTGCTGCAATCAATTCCCAATACGGCGCTCCGTGACCTCTAGCCCCTCTTCACATGCGGCACTCCCCCACATTTCCCTTTGGAAAAGCCGGGGAAAGCGGCAAAAACGGTGTGCAGTGAAGTGTTTTGAAGTGGCAGCTGCCACAGAGCCAACTGCAACTGCCACAACTGCATTGGTTGCCCCACGCCTCTTATCATCACTTGATTTACCGCCCCCACTTCCCCCATTTCCCACGTTTCGTCCGTATCTGAGGTAACATGTTTGTGATGAATATGTTTACATCAATAACAAAAGCTCCACTACGGCGCATCAATAATGAAGCCTTGCTCTGACTCCGCTTAACAAAACCTCCTTTCGCTGCATCCACCGCGCTGCCCCTTTTGCCAAACCCCCTTTTGAACACGTCAAAATGAGTTTACTTTGTGGTTTCGATGGCTGCGATTGGAAACTGCTCCCGCGGAGTTTGGAGTACCGAATACATTCATCCGCACACAAATACAGCGAGTTCTTGACATCCTCAGCACAAAAACAACAGTTGCAATGGCAACAGGGATTATGTCGGGATTGCAGCAGGAAAACCACTTGATATTTTGAAAGTGAATCCGTCCGCAGTCTGATCGGAGATTTGGTATTATCCGAGATTAGGGGTTGGCTAGTTGACTGGATGCGGAGCCCAGGAATTCATTTCTAATTAATAAACATGTGTGGTGCACTTTACCATAGAATAATGCTAGGATAACAATGACTAGGTAGCCCCACTAAGCGGGACTTAAACAACAAATGTCAACAAAAAACAAACAAATGTAAATAATGCATTTTAAAAGGGAATAAAGGGCTTTTAAGCTATCGTCATTTGAAAAGTTATCCAAAGGATTCTTGCGGTAGAGTTCACAGAGAGAATAAGACATTTTGAAAGAACTCCGTAAGCGTAATATAGCACTCTATGTTTAAATTATCCCAATTAATAAAGTTCCAATGTAATAAAGTCCCAGAATAATATTCTCAGAAAAGGAGCCCTCGACTTTAAGCTTTTCTAACGACACAATGTATCTGGTCAGTTAAATAATACCAGCCATATAGGACACACACGTTTACACCAACATATTTTAGTCCGGCAATTAGTTCTAGCCCTTTCGAAGACCAAAACTACACCCACATACACAACAAGAATGGACGGGGACCAAGTGAAGGGCATTCTAAAGTCGGGGAACAATAGTGCGCAATTTAGCCTCAAGGCGGCCAAATTCGATGAGATCAACATACTGGCCACGTTCCACCCAGTTGGCAAGGATTACGGCCACATGATCATCGACGAACCGAAGACACCCTTCGTCTTTGAGGACGATTTGCCCAAGGAGTTAGACACAAACACCCTGATCGAGAAGCTGCGACAGAAGTCAATGTCGGAAATGCCGGCTTTTGGCATCGAAGGAGAGTCGGATGAATCCTCGGCGGACGATGACTATCCCGAGTCCGTGGAGGAAAAAGTGCGGAGAATGGAGTTTGAGAGGCGCCGTAAACTGCACTACAAGGAGTTCCACTCTGTGCCACTGGCTCGTCGTCTCATCGCCGAGGAGTTTGCCGATTTGAGCAGTGCGGAGAATAGTATTCACTGCGAGTCAGGATTGGTATCCTTTGAAGCGTGCAGTGAAAATCAAACCATCGACGGTGAAGCCAGCAACTTGACACAAAACAAATCCTCATATACTGACAGTCAATCCGATTATCAGTTGTCAGATCATTCTGAGCCCGAACCAGGTTTCTCCCCCAGCCATCATTGCTACCAAAAACTGAAGGCCGAGCTCTTCAACAAAACCGAGCCCGAAGAACTGGCCTCCATAGCTCACTTGCATCACCTGCCATCGGTCGTCGATGATGAACCAAGCCGCGAGCCTCGGGTCCCATATCCTTCTGTCATTCCGGTTCACAGACACAGCCTACAGGACCACGAGACTACACTGAAAACAACGTCCGCGAAGTCGGCTCCTGCTCGTATATGTAAATCCAACCCCGATAACCGTGGTGGCACTTCTAAGAAAGGGACTCGCTAAAATCATTCCACACTTTCCACCACGCAGCGGTCTTAAAAATTTTGAAGTTCATTCAAACAATCTCTTGTACACAGAAAATGATTTGGGATTAAAACTATTGTAAGCTTTATAAATATTCAAATTTCAAGTTAACAGAGGGTATCTATCTTAATACATTTGTTTGTTAAACGGGTAAGGATAAGGATCCGTAATTACTCCATCACAAAAGGTGTCTCTAGTAATTTTCGGTCATTCCAGTCCTATTTGTGCCCCGTCTAAGCTGCTTAGGAAATTTCAGGAAAATTCCAAATACCGTTGGGAAGGCTAATTGCTGAGATGCTGATATGATTAACCCACTAACCTTCGGCTGCGCCACCTATTATTACTTGGCCTCCGTCTGAGGAATATTTAATTACGCAATGTCCTGACGGTAATCACCATTCGGGTAAAATCAGATACAAGTTTGCGCAATAACTTATTTTGGCATTTTGTTGCGTGATTGAAAATTCCTTTTGACAGTCCCGGCAGCCGAAGAGTTTTCCTTCCGGCCAATTGTTTTCATTCTGATTTCATGCTCTGGTCATTCCAGTTGTGAAGAAACTGATTTCTGGCCTTTAAGATAATTCCTCGGATATTACAACTGCAAAATCACTTGAGATAATTATGCAAAATGTTTAATTTAGCCATTAAATGCCGTAGTTCAGTTTTATTATTATTAAGCTTTGGTCCATTTGATTGCAAATGAAAGGACAACACAAAACCGGATGGTGGTTGTGTGAAGTGTCATGAATATTTATAGGGGCCATGTTATCATTGAATAGATTTCAATTAGAATTATTTGCGAATACTTTCGGAGCACAAAATGAGTAGTGGCAAACAAGTTAAGTAACGTTGATCTTGAGGTCAAGTATTTCATAAGGAGAATGGGGGTCTTAAGACAGATTCAGCATGCCTCTGTCAATAGTTGTACAATTGTTTTGTAGTATTTGAGAACATATTTCAATATTGACAATTTCTTAAATGCACTTGCCATTAAGGAGAGCGCCCATTATTTTCCCACCTTCGGCGAAGCTTTCCATTTGCAAGACATTTAATTGTTGATTCTTAACTCAAGGCTTTTAAGTGCATTTAAACCGAAAAACACTTAAATTGGACAAACAACATGGATGACTTAACCCGTTGGCAGCATCCTTAACCCCGTGAAGCCATTTAATGCGAACTTGCCATTTGGCCAGAAGTGATGGCCGAAGTGAAATTTAAGTTGGCTCGAATTGATGGTCGCAGCGTCTTTGTCTCCGTCCGTTTTTCCATCTTCTCCGGACTCGAGTCCGGTTCTTCCTGGCATCTCCGTCTCCGTCTCCGTCTCCGGCTTGGTCTCCGTAACAATTGCCGTGTACATTTCATTAAGTGCATAAGCCCGTCCGGCTGTCAGCTCTCCGCTCTCCCTCTCCCTCTCTCCCTTTCTTCTCTATCTTTCCTCCTTTATGCCACTTTCTCCGCTTCCCTTCCCTGCCACTTCTGGCTGTTCCGTTCGTGTGGAGCGTTTTTAAGCCGGAAAATTATTTTTAATGCTATTTACACTCACAAATGAAAATGCAAGCGCAAATAAAGGCCGCCAGCAGTCACGAACTGGCCAACAACTTAACTGGCATAAATGCTACTGGCCAAGAAAAAAGAAATATACGTACATATATATATACAAGACGGACCGCGAATGAAGCTGTATAACCGACAAGATTCCCTAACCAATTTACAATGATAAACTTATTCTAGTTTCTTGAACAGTTTGCTGAAAATATGCTTATCGTACATGTAAATGTTTAAATCTTGCTGACGGAGCCAATTATTTAACTTATAATTAAGTTCCAGGAAAGCGGTCCTTAAAGCAGTTATCTTAAGATGAGCCGTAATTATTTCTCATATAATAATTAAAAGTTCGACGTACAGACTTCAATTTTGTGCAGCAATTATTTTTGAAGTCTTTTCTTTCCCCAGAAACTATTTAACCTACACTGCCGCAGGGTATTAAAAAAAAAACGCTGAAACTGGTCGAAAACTGAGGCCAAGGAAGAGGAGCTCCTTAAAGCAGCTGCCCACTTTTCAGACATGGACCTCGACCTGAACGCGTGTCGCTAAAAAAGTTCGGCTAAATATTTGCGAAAGCATTTTCGCTATTTGCGATGGCATTTCGTGTGGCATGCGGCATCTCCGCTGCGCTCCTTTCTCCATTCCGTACACAATCCTCATTCCGTCATCTCACGTTGCATGTGCAGCACGCAAGAAAATCCCAGAGGGATGGGGTTTTTCCCGGGAAAATGGGGATTGAGCTGCACTTGCTTCGCTGGGGCATCAATTTTCATTTTGATAAATTATAAAATGGCCCAGCGCTGGCACCCAGAGCACCAGGCACTGAACACCGTGCACATCCTCGGCCGAGGGATAAATGGATTGCCTGGCGATGGCCAACGTTAACCCATGGCAGTACCCTTGAAAATTGAATGCCAATGGATTTTCGAGAGGAGAACAAAGCAGCTTAGATGGTTAAATGAATGGGGTATGCGAGTATACTGTAAGCAGCGGTTCTGGTTGCCACTTTATTGATACATCAATCATCGCAGCTCATAGCTGCTTAAAACCACTTTTGCTGCGGTTTATTGAGTTAATGGATGGCCTGACTTCTTAAGCTTTAAACTGAATTAGGCTTGTTAACATACAAACATTACAGCTTTCTGTATGACTACAAACTATATATAATCATAATTTTATTTTCTTATTTATTAACTTACATATAGAAATATCTTTATTAATATATAAGAATAATGCCAAGCTGGTTTTGTAACAACGGTTTAAAAGACTTGAACGGGTTAAAGGCCAGCAGAAAGTGGTCAGGATTTTTTTTAGGTAGGGCGTATCATCATTAGGAGCTGGATTTTCCCTCTCTAGTTTTTCGTTTCGCCCTGTCTCTGTCATGTAAATATAGTGTTGCAAATGTGGCCAGCAAGTGACATTGTTTAATTGATTGCCTCTCAACTTTTCTCTTTTTCCACCAAACTAGCTGGAAAAGCTAATAAAGATTTATGTACTTTTAAATTTGTTGATTTTTTTTGGTGCACCTGGTCAAACACAAAAACTGAAAGGACTTTGGAGTGGGTCAGGATTCATAATGGGGGTGTCACGAGCCAGAGGTCAGGGCCACGCAGGTCACCCTTTTTTCCTAGTTCGCCTAAACAAATATGGAAATGCACGCAGGCTAAGAGCGAGCACGTAGCCAGGATAAGAACCGGAAAAATGTCCTTTTGGTCCTGTTTCTCTACACTACTTTGTGTCTTTCTTTGTTTGTTTTTATTCGTAATCAATTAAAGGATAAGGCAATCTATTAGAAAGCCAGCTGTCCCCCTTCCTAAAGGATTGGCGTGACTTGTTTGCTTAAACTACCGCAGCTGCGGAAAATTGAACCCCTGCTTCGTCACTCCTTTTTCACGTTTAATACTTAATTATCTTTCAAGCACGCATGTATATTTTAATATTTTCGCACAAATTATCTACAAATTGGAATCAATGAATATTTAAGGCGTCTAGGGGTGAAGAAAAGCAGGCCTATTAATCATTCAAAAATTGTTTGGTTTTTAAAGCTAATTACGACGGAATCTTAAAATTTAAATGTTTTATGTGATGGTGGAATTCCTGTCTAAACAATTCCTTTCAATTATCATAAGTAATTAATGTTTCGTTAAGTGCATTGCTCAATTTATTACATTGAAAGGAATACAATATAACTAAATAAAAGTGTATCATAAAAATATATATCCAATTTTCGCTGCATGTTTATTAAAACCAGCCATCCGTTGTTGTAGCAGAAGTAGTGCTGTAGTTCTGATTAGAACTATTGCCCCTATTTCGGCTGCTACCATTGCCATTATTTCCATTTCCCCAATTGTTATTTCCTTGCCAGTTGCCTGGTCCCATTCCGTTTGGACCACCAGGTGGTCCACCCATTCCATTTGGCCTGCCGGGTGGTCCACCCATTCCATTTGGCCTACCGGGTGGTCCACCCATTCCATTTGGCCTGCCGGGTGGTCCACCCATTCTGTTTGGACCGCCTCCCATTCCATTCGGTCCACCCATTCCGTTTGGTACGCCTCGACCGTTATAGCCACCCATTCCTCCAGGACCCATTCCATTACCACCCATTCCTCCGGGACCCATGCCGTTACCACCCATTCCCCCAGGACCCATTCCATTACCACCCATTCCTCCAGGACCCCTTCCATTTCCACCCATACCGTTTCCATATCCTCCTCTGCCACCCATTCCATTTCCGCCCATACCACCGGGACCCATTCCATTACCACCCATTCCTCCTTGTCCCATTCCATTGCCGTATCCGCCCCGACCGTCCATTCCACCTGGTCCCATTCCGTTCCCGCGCATTCCATTGCCACCCATACCATTTCCGTTCTGTGGACCCATTCCGTTTCCATACTGACCACCCATTCCTTTTCCATTCTGTCCACCCATTCCGTTTCCATACTGACCACCCATTCCATTTCCACCGTTTCTTCCGTTATTCATTCCATTGGGTCGGCCCATTCCACTGCCACCCATTCCATATCCTGGCTGGTTTGCCTGACGTTTTCCACGCATCCGGGATTCGCCTTCAAGAAAATGTACAACACAATTACTTATAAATAACATAACATATTTGATCATCGCTATGATAAAGATAGTCATTGTTGTACTCGGTTGAATTATTTTGTTGCAGATAGTAAACGAACCTGAAGTAAAGGAGTATTGCTTCTGCATTACACAAGTTGGATACTTCCCGCATTGAGCGTTTTCAAGTTGACTAGAACCTGTACAGGGCTCTCTGGATATAATGCACTGATGACCGGGAGCACACGAAATATCCCGGCAGTCACGTCCGTATTCTGTTTATATATACAAAAAAAATAATCCAATGCGCTGAGTATTTTTTTAGGGACTTACTCGTAAATCCGTGAACACTGACCACTATTGCTATTAGCAGGCATATACTAAAAAATTGCGCCATTTTCAACGTTGTCTTTCCACTAATACTGTTTTTTGAACTCAGTTTCAAAAGCACCCCCATTTTTATACATTTGTGCTCAGCATGCATGAAAAGGTTTACTAATTGATTCTGTCAAAGTAAATTTACCAAATGAAAACATTACGCCGTTTTAATTTAATTCTACTGATTGATTGACACCATTTATTAAGATAGTCACGGAATATTTGTTGAATTTTATGTACATACATATACATAATATATATAAGAATTGCTTATTAAAGCGTATCATTGAACTTAAGCAAGCCTAAGAAACAAATTAAACACTATTTATATATAATATTTCTGAGTGCTGAAACTGCCACGCAATTCATGGGCAATTGCTTTTTTAATGTTAGGAAAAGTATTCTTGATCTGGATCACTAGCCGAGTTGATTTGGCCACCATACTCGTATATCGGGATGAATAAAAGCTAGAAAATTGATATTGCGGAAGATTAGATTTATGATGATTTCCAAGGTGACCAGTGGCTTCTTAAGATAATGGACTGGGAGTAAATGCCTCCAATGGTCCGATGGTTTAAACTAATCTATTAGATTTAGTTGTAAGTTCAGTGTTGAAATGAGTAGTTGAGTTGAGTTGAGATGAGGTAATGATGATAGTCACGCTTGCTTAAACGCACAAAGCCGTCCAAAAAATTTAAAAATGTTTTGATTTTTTTTCCCCGTTACTCGTTGAGTAAAAGGGTATACTAGATTCGTTGAAAAGTATGTAACAGGCAGAAGGAACCGTTTGCGACCATATAAAGTATATATATATAATGGAACAGGATCAATAGCCGAGTCGATCTGCCCATGTCCGTCTGTCTTGTCCGTTCGTCTGTCCGTATGAACGCCTCGATCTCAGGAACTACAAAAGCTTGAATGAATGAAATGAAAAATGAATGAATGAAAAAGCTTGAGATTAAGCTTCTGATAGTGGGAGAACTCGACTAAAACATTCTATCTTGTTTTCATTTAATTATTAGTAATTAACAGGTAGTTACAAGTCGAGTCGACTATAGCGTTCTTTTGTTTTTACACATTTCGTACTAGATATGCTTTTCCGCAATGTCAACTGCCTACTTAGCGCAAATGAGATTTGCTTGGCCTCAGAGTACACAATTTACGAGCATAACAAATGAAACAAAGTTTTATTCTGGTCTCCGACACTTGGGCTTCTTCCATGGAAGTCGGAAAAGTTTGGCCCCCGAAATGTTCAAAAAGGAAGAAAAGTGGGAATGGCTGAATCTTTATGCGCATATGTAAACATTTCCTGGCTACATGAACTTCAAAAATCCCGTGGCTAAACTACTTTGGTTCAACACGGCCTCAACTTTTTGCCCAGTTGAAAAAGTTTGCAGCCCCAAGAATGCATACATCATCCTTATATATATCTGTGCCACAATGGTGTTATAATTCACAACTTGAACCGGAACTGCGCGTTAAAACTTTCACTTGAAGGAATGCGGAAGCTAGATTACTGCATTCAACATTGTTTATATTTTCTTTAGGAAGTACTCTATTTCAAAATTTGGTTTTATTTCGCCTAAGTGTATAGTTGTACCCGAAAAACGGCAATGTAAGGTAAGCTTTTATTTGCATTGAAAGGGGGAATCAAAAGTTCTTGTTTTGCAAGCTTTGCTAACAAAGTTAATGCACAGATAATATTAAATGAAACCCTTTGAAAGGCAATTCCATGTCGGAAAAAAGCCTTCCGAAAAGAGTTTAACTAACAATTGAATACAAAAAGCAAACTAGCCAGATTCGAAAATACTTTCATTATTTCATTTCTACAATATTTGATTTTCTCTTCAACACAAACCATTGCTGACTGACTGGAGCTGGTCATAGAATGGTTTTGTTTTCCCTTTTTCCCCAACACATTTTATTACACTTTTTGTTTTCAAACATTCTGTTCGCTGCAAAAGAATTTTCCAAACCAAAATTCCAGTCATGCTGGTCCACGTTTGTTTGCGCAGCTCTCTGATGAAAGCGATACAGAGAGGAACCTGACACTTTATATGAAACAGCCATAATTTAAGGTATTTTTTGGTTCAAGTGCTTCCCATTAAATTTATGCGCGTTGACTAAAATAAATATAGGCACGAATTATTTGTGTTTGGCTGGCAAAAGGCTTTTATTGATTTTATGGCGTTAAATTTTCAATTTTTACCTGACACACGCCGCTCATCGATGTTTTTGTTTCTTCATTGGTTTTGCGAGTTGTACAGTTTTGGTAGTTGTGTTTAAGGCTAACTTTTACTTCATATTAAAAAGTATTACTATTTGCCATGTGACAAAAATATCAAACTCCCTGGGGAGAAGTAAAAAGTTGATTTCATTTCGTTAATTTTCCGCGCCAATTTAAGACAGCAAAAAACACAACAAGCCACTAAAGCCGAAACCCAAAGCAGCCGCACCAAACCGTCGCCGACCACACCCCCTTTTGCCCACAAGCCGGGCGGACTCATCCTTTCTGTCCGCCGGAGACTTAACAGCTCGACAGCTGTCCGTCTGCGAGTGTGCGCCTGTGCTCGTGTGGAAGTCCTGCACTGGAAAATATCAGTGCCCAAAACAAAATGCTTCAATTTATGGAATTTCAAAAGATTTGCTGCTAGGCTAATAAAATGTTTGGCCAGCTTTACTGAAAGAATGATACAAATGCTAACATTACTTTGTATAAACAATGTGCATACGATTTTTTAAATACTTGTGCAAAAAGGTTTTTCTGTTTCTCTTCTAGCAAATGTATGTAATTTTAATATTTAAGTCAAAATGTGAATTTAATTTTTTTCAAGTGCATACTTTCGAAGCGTTGTATATGTGTGCGTGCATCGTTTAGATTTAGTGCCGCTTGTTACGCTTTGATGTCATGTCATTTATAAGCGACGCAGCAGCAGCTTCGGGCTGACCCCATCACGCTGCCACGCCCCTTCCATTTAGACGCCCCCTGAAGAGCGCCACCCGCCCCCCTATCACCCCCTGAAACCAAGCAATGCTGCGTGCAACAAAATGCAAACTGACAGTTTAGCATGGGAACAAGTTTTCAAGCCAGAAGGAAACTTAACATGACAGACCACGACAATGACGTTGGCAAAAAACTTAAAGCGAGCTTAAAGCCCGGGGCAAAGGTCACGTGTCCACCCCCCTTTCCACCCATCGCCGCCACCCATGGCACAAATTGCCGGACCAGCTGAGTAATTTACGCACAATAATCCGCATCGCTGAACTCTTCTTCCTCCGCTGGCCAGATGATTGATGTATGGACGTGTTAATTAGGTCCACTCGTGCCGCATTTACACTCCACTCTACGCGAAATGGGAGAAGAAGCCAGAAATTAAAGGCGCAGATCGTCGGGCAGGCAATAAAAATCTAAGCAAACGAGTGGGCGAACTTTGTTCGACGAATTGATTGATTTCTGGACACAAGCACATTAATCAGACCGCCGAGAAATGCTGATTTGATTCCAGCGAAAAAAGTTTTCGTCCAAGAGCTCTTGATTACGAGTTAAGCAGTTTTGGACAAGCCATTAAGAGGGCACTTTTTTCAAGGTTTTGCTTCACATAACCGGCTTAAAACGAATTGCAACTACCCTTTAATTAAATGAAGAAAATAAAAAGCTTAAAATTATATATTTATCTGTGGATAAATTAAAACTTCATTTTTTAGACAATAAATATATATTTGTATTAAATAATTTCTTAGAATGGTTTCAATCAAAAAATTGTCGCTTTATAATAATTTGGCATACTTTTACACACTTGTTGGAATATCGATAGCAATTGGGAAAACAGATAAAAAATAAAAAAAACATGTAAGCCTAATATATTTGTTATACTTACCAAGACTTTTGCACTTATACGGACGGACAGAGGTTCTTGGCCATATTGAATTGGCCATTGACCTGATGAAGCTTTCTTTTACCTATCAAGCTTTGCAATGAATCTATTATACCCTTCTGCTATACAAGTGACGTTGATGATGAGATTCTTTTGGTGTTTTTTTTAAGATGTTAATGACTTCTGGACTGGAAGTTAGCCCTTAGAGTGGCTAGCTAAAGTGTAACAATATTTAAATATCTAATATAATTATATATAATATCTAATAATATAATACAATATTTATTTCTCTAATATCAATGTAGATATTATTATATACAAAGCTATACATTTAGACATGATACATACATTCAGGTATTATATCACACAAAGCTGAGACATGTAGATGCTCAAGTATCGTTGCAACTCATGTGCAACCCATCTAAGGCTAACTTGCAGTCCTCAAATCATCAATAATAGCCCATCTTTTTGCGCCTCCTCCAGGCTGAGTTCTGACAAATTCAATTTATTTCAAGTTCTCAGATCAACACAAAAAAATGGCAGTGCACAAAAAATTCCGGCAAGGAAGGAGCGCTGAAAAAGTGCAAGCTGTTCACTAAATCAAAAACAGATTTCGGTAACAAATTCGTTATGCACGTGACACGTCCAAACAATGCCTGTGCCTCTTCCTGCGACCGTGTTTGTGGCCATCTCTGTCTGTGTGTGTGTGTGTGTGTGTGTGTGTGTGTGCGTGTGTGTGTGGTCGCCTAAAAGAAATTTGAATAAGTGAATTTAAAAAGCGTTGGCGGCGACTACGGCTGCATGACAAAAAAAGAGTGAATCACCTCCAACAAAAAGTTAAACAACAACAAACAAAATACGAACCTAGAAAAAGAACCAATGTGTGCTCTCATAGTAAAGCCAAGGACACTTTCATGAAATGCAATTTCGCACTTGTAAACTTCTATGGCTAGCCCGTGTGTATGTGCTCACAGGATGCTGCGTTTTCAGCTACTTACTAGCTGAGCTAGCTACTTTATATACTAATATATACTTTATATTCCTAATAATTCCAATTCCCTATTTTATTTTTTTTATGTGTTTATTTTTTTAAATATACGTTTTAAGTTATATTTAGAGATTCTTACACATGTTTTTAAGGTATAACTTTAAGTAAATATATAAAATATAAACCCATGGCATT